GTAAAACGAACGAACGCTCTTATTCCCCTGTCACATTGGGCATATTAATTACAGGAATAACATCGGTGCCGCAAACAATCGAGTCAAGTCCGAAAGGGTACTTTTTACGTCAGAGACAACACAAACACACACACACACACACACACACACACACACACACACACACACACACACACACACACACACACACACACACACACACACACACACACACACACAAAAAGTACAATTTCTGACTTTTTACTACTACGTTAGAGACAACACGTGGGTGGTTGGCGGGTGCTCTGGTGTGGTTTGCTTCTTCTTTCCTATCAAACACCTATCGTCCTTATCTCCTCTTCTTCTTTTTTTATGTTTGTTATTCCCATGTAACACCTCTAATCTTCTGGCGCTCATATGACCTTATGCAGTTGCGATTGCCGTAAAACCTCTACTAAAACTAAAAAAGGAGACAACACAAGACAACAAGTTTCTTTTGTGCAGTTCCTATCAAGAGTGATGAAAAGCAAGAAAATTGTACATCTTGGCCATAGCTTTAAACTGAATTTTGGTGATGTTGAAATGTGCATCTTTGGTGTAGCTTTGAGTGAACATTCTCAAACTTTGAACTTTAGCGGGTTGCTTACGTCGCCAACGATAATCCTGTGATGATGGGGGACTCGATGGTTCGTGAGTGGAGAACGGGGGTGGGGTGGGGTGGGGAATTGGGGAGGAGGTAAGGTAACTAAATGGGGCATAATGTTTATTTTATCATTAAAAAGCTTGTCGATACAACCCATCGGCGTCCATCAATGAAGGAATGTAAAATAGAACTCAGTTGTAATTCAAATTAATATACTAATGACATGTCAAGAAACGGTTAACTTTATTGTGATGATGATGATGATGATGATGATGATGATGATGATGATGATGATGATGATGACAGTTATGAATCGTATAGACGATGATTAAGAATATCCTGCCAACGAATTCAAAACAACATTATAAACAATAATAATAATATAGCATAATACTTGTCTCCCCAGGCACCCTGATCCCAGCGGCTATCATCCTTGGCCTGGGAGCTGCACCTCTCTGGTCTGCTAAATGTACCTACCTAACTCAGATCGGGGTCTGGTATGCCAAACTGACCAATCAGGACAAAGACAGCGTCATTAACTCATTCTTTGGATTCTTCTTCTTGTTTTTCCAGAGCTGTAAGTTGACTGAGAACAGCGGAAAATCCATACCGTTAATGTTTTAAAATCTGCTTATTGCTCGAACATTACAAGTGATAATTTACTATAATTTCATTCTGGCGTTAAAGCTTTAGTGTTTTATCCCCTACCCCCTTCTCTCCCCCCACCCCCACCCTCTCTTCCCTCCCCTCTCTCTCTCTCTCTCTCTCTCTCTCTCTCTCTCTCTCTCTCTCTCTCTCTCTCTCTTTCTCTCTCTCTCTCTCTCTCTCTCTCTTTCTGTGTGCGTGTGCGAAGGTGTGTGTGTGTGTGTGTATGTGTGTGTGTGTGTGTGTGTGTGTGTGTGTTTGTGTGTGTGTATATGTGTGTGATTATATTATGTATATCAGATAAAACGTTCATCACCTGTCTCAACGCCGATTTTTCCGTCTTCGGGTCGACCTTTCCCGCCCTCTTAGAGCGTACCTCCGCTAACACCAGGATCATCCAAGTAGGCCTACGGTCTTGAGAACATATAAGGATTGAATACTGTAGTTCTAACATCGCACAAGGATAGAATGCTATAGTTCTAACATCGCACAAGGATAGAATGCTATAGTTCTAACATCGCACAAGGATAGAATGCTATAGTTCTAACATCGCATAAGAAGAGACGACCATGATTGCAATATCACGTGGGTATAAAATGCTATAGTTCTTGGATCGCATATATCTATAATTGTAAGATCACATGGGGATAAAATACTATAATTATGAGATCGCCTGAGAATAAAATCTCATTATTCTTAGATGTCATGTAGGCAGAATCCTACAGTAATGATATCTCTGGTCAGTTCAGTCCTATAGTTTTCAGATCACATGAGAATGGAGGCGAAAAGTTCTAAGATCACAAGGGGATGGAGGCCTATAGTTTTAAAGTTACACGATGTTACTTTCATGTTAAGTTTAGTACCGGTTTTTACTTCCAGTGTTTCTGTTTTGTAAGACATTTTACATATGTGAGGCAGCGTGGTGAAATCAGGCGCTCGTCAAAATAATGAAAGTGAAGACGCTGGCATTTTTCCGCAGGTTTGTGAATTTTTATCGAATTTTGTTTTTAGGCTCAACACCTTTCATGTCAATTAAAGAACACATTTCTGTGTGGAATTACTGAAAAACTTTAATTAAAGGCACAAAAAGGTACATTTCCAGTTTCCAAGAACTTTAAAGCATTGGAAAGTACCAGGCTTTGGCGGCCATTTTCTCCCTTATTATTACCTCTGAAATCAGGTGACCCCA